GTTGTAGGTGCAGTAGTAGTTGTTGGTTGTGGTGTTGTAGAGGCATTAGTAGTAGTTGTTGGTTGTGGTGTTGTAGAGGCATTAGTAGTAGTTGTTGGTTGTGGTGTTGTAGAGGCATTAGTAGTAGTTGTTGGTTGTGATGTTGTGGAGGCATTAGTAGTAGTTGTTGGTTGTGGTGTTGTAGGTGCAGTAGTAGTAGTTGTTGGTTGTGGTATTGTAGAGGCAGTAGTAGTAATGGTTGGTTGTGGTGTTGTAGGTGTAGTAGTAGTAGTTGTTGGTTGTGGTGTTGTAGGGGTGGTAGTAGTAGTTGTTGGTTGTGGTGTTGTAGGGGCAGTTGTATTAGTTATTGGTAGTGGTGGTGTAGTTGCAGTTGCAGTAGTAATAGTAGTAGTTGTTGGTTGTGGTGTTGTGGATGGAGTAGTAGTATTTGTTGGTTGTGGTGTTGTAGATGGAGTAGTAGTATTTGTTGGTTGTGGTGTTGTAGGTGCAGTAGTAATAGTTGTTGGTAGTGGTGTTGCAAATGCAGTAGTGGTAGTTCTTGGTTGTGGTGTTGTAGATGGAGTAGTAGTAGTTGTTGGTTGTGGTGTTGTAGATGGAGTAGTAGTAGTTGTTGGTTGTGGTGTTGTAGNTCTTGTAATATTATGACTTTATTCTTGTTAAATTATGACTTTATTCTCGTAATATTATGACTTTATTGTTGTGATATTACGACTTTAATCTCGTAATATTATGACTAATCTTGTAATTATGACTTCCATCCATCCATCCATCCATTTTCTGTACACGCTTCTTCCTTTTCAGGGTCGCGTGGGTCACTGGTGCCCATTTCCAGCAGTCACAGTGCGAGGGGCGGGGTACACCCTGGACAGGTCGCAAGTCCATCACAGGGCTAATTATGACTTTATTCTCGTAATATTATGACTTTAATCTCTTAAAATTATGACTTTATTGTTGTAATATTATGACTTTATTGTTGTAATATTATGACTTTAATCTTGTAGTATTATGACTTTAATCTTGTAATAATCATTTAAAAATCTCGTTGTGTGCCCCTAATATTCTGTCGTATCACACACCTGCAGTTATTTGCTCCTTTAAAGTTTGAGCTTCTTAGTTTGTTGAGGACTGAAAACTCATGTTTACCACCAAGTTGCATCACCGCTGCTGAACAACACTTTGACCAAATTGCTGTAATTTTAAAGACAACTATTGTCCCAGTGTTTGATGCAACAGTGAAAGATTTTGGTGTTTAAAGTCAGCAGGATGATGTCATACACTCAGAGTTTCATCTCAGAGTTTAATTATCTTAATTTTACAGCTCGATTTGTTCTCAGCATTAAATTATCTGCAGTTTAGACAGAGTTAAACAGAGTATGGTTATATTGACACCCTTTAGCACAGCCTTAGAAAATTATTTTTCTTTACACAACTTGACTTACTGTGGACTTAAATTTTTTTTAGCTCAAAAWTGTTCTAATGCTCCCCTGCAGTGTCAAACTTGCTAATTAGTCTCCTGTTGGACAGAAACAGAATATTTTGAACCATAATTAGCCAGATCAGAGGGTTTATACTAAATAATATATTTCTTCTGAACTAGAAATAAGAATCATGAACCCAGAAATGAGCAGTAGCAACAAGAAACAAAACAAAAAAAAAACTGATTTTGAGGAAAAACGTCTTAAAATTTTGAGATTTTYCCTGTGAGCTAGCAAAGCTGTGTTTCTTTTCAGCTGGGAAATCTCAATATTAAAATATAATTTGAGGTTTCCTCTTTTTAAGGACATCAAAAATTCCTCATTAAAATTATATAAAATTAGGATTCAGACCAAATATTTATGGATTATGATAACCAACAAGACAAATTAAGTCATATATATGGATTTAATTTTGATATAAGAATGATCCAGGTATCAAAATGTAGCACTAAGGTTAACCTTAGAGAAAATGTCATGGTTAGCACTAAAGGGCCCTCCGACGGATAGCGGGAGACCAGGGTTCGAGACCAACACAGATAGCAAGAGCAAGGAGCGCCACCAGGCAAAGACAAAAAAATTATTAAAATATGTTTTGCTTTTATGGTTATTTACACATTCATTGTCATTGATATATTAACCCACTAGGGGGCACTGTCGGGACAGTCTGAAGCCTAGAAGGCACAGTAGAGACTATCTGAAGCCATTGTATGGGACTGATAACACCTAATAACGTCCCTTTCATGGACTGATAACATCAGAATCCCCTGAAAGTGAAGTATTTGTGATATTTTTAACATATTCAGTGTAAAACTGGATTAGACAGCATGTTAAGTGGAGCAGTTCAGTGTAAGATTTGTCATTTTGGATTAGGCTCTAAAAGATTGATGATGGCTCCTTTAATTCTCACTGCAAGTCTGCCAAAACTTTGTTTTTCATTAATGCTTATTGTTAAACTCCATGACCAATATTCCATCATAACTGTGATGTATCTGTTATGGACGCTATGACCTCTCAAACTGTCTGATAGATCAGTTTCACAGAGTAAAGTGTGCTGCAGCAGAGAGTGAGTGTTGCATTCTCATTTGCAGTCATGAGGCGTTGTGGAGCTGAGAGGAGAGCTGCTGATTAACAGCTGGCAGGGAATGAGGGGGTGTTTGATCTGTGGAAATGTCGTGTGATTGGCTGGCRTTCAGGAAATTGATTTTATATGTAAACCAAGTTTAAACATCACTTGGCAACAGATAGAAGGAAAAGAAGCGCTGCCTCATTTTTYACCATCACTCATTGTATTACTGAACTCAATGTTTAAACGAATAAAATTTTATAACCAAATTTTATTTGTATAGACAGGATTTTGTAAGAAACACAATGAATAAAACAACATTAATGATTTTGAGGCAAATGTTTTTCATAAAAACTTATCCTAGTTATAAATATTCTTTAGATAAAAAAAGTTATGACAGAAACAAGAGGAACCATATTAAACCTGTTTCTTTACATGTTAATAAAGAGTCTGAATGTCTCCTGTGCAATGAACAACTACTATCTTACCTGCTGTGGATAACTCTTTGAACGACCTTGTGAAGCTGCATTATGTAATAATGCCACAATATGTAACAATTTAATAAAATTGGGCTTAAAAATGTAATAAAAGATAAACAGCTTTGATGAGCAGCTGGTTTAATCCTATTGAAAGCATGAGCATACATTTGATTTTAACATCTTTTTTCCACATTAACAGGAAAAACATTTATTTTTCCTTCTCTGACTCTTCACACAACACATCACTATTGTTGTCTGTGCACTTATATATGAGCTGTGG